AATGAAAGATATTTTACACGTAATAAGAAAGTTTTGACGAAGAAAGTTTGRTAACTTCACGTCTCCGTCTGATGCATCTTTGCAAAACTGCTTGCTAAGTTTGAAATCTCTAGTCTAGATCATCACTCAATTATTTCRTTCATGCTCTTATAATTTTTTTTATCTGTTTTAGCGACTGTTGATAACGTAGCCGAAACAAATTAATGAAATATGTAGTAATTTTGATGAATTCAATTGTCGGGTCAACATACATACATAAARGAGGTAAAATATTTGACATATGTGGGTATTTTCCGGCTTGTTTTTGTCTAATTTTTAATTCTGGTTTATCGGTAATGTTTGCTGTGGCGTTATTATTTATTCCGTGTTCAAAAACGCGGCTGTTTTTGTTCGGTTTGCGATAAGTTGGAGTGCGCCTGAGCCTTTAGCGGTTTAACTAATAGCAGAGTCGTTTTGTGTCCGCGGTTTTATTACCAGTGGCGGTGGCACCATCTGACGTTCCCTCCGGTCCTGTTTGCTTTATCCTGTCGTTCCGCAACACCTTGCCTGATGTATTCGCAACGCTATTAAATTACAAAACAAGCACCTCTTGTGGCTTTTTTGTCGCTTAATTTTTGCGCTAGTTTTGTTTCCGTTTAATTAATCCGGACGAGAGTCTTCCCTTATTTACGACGTTTTTCCGGTTCATTTCCCCAACACATATTGCCGATAAAATCGACCCCACAGCAAAAAATCTTTCGATTTTTATTGCCGGCGCATTATGTCCTAACGGGGTGATAGCAGCCGCATTGCCTGTCCGCGCCATAAACACAACGAGCTGCTGTTGCGATGCGCCTGATAAGATGATATTAAACATGAATTATGCATAACAATTTTCCTTTAAACAAACAATAATTTATTGTACGCCACCTCTAATGAAAACAAAAGTGTTACATAAATCGATGTAATCTCACAATTTATAAAGTGTGCTCTGGATAATGTAGGTGCGGCCCATTATCATTCGACACCTGAGTTTATTTACGACCCTCGAGATTATTTCGAGCCGATTACCGCAGAAAAAGCCCAGAYTTCTCATAAACACAAAGCGGATTTGGAGGAGATKGGCGCCCAACATGGGGCAGGGAACTGGACACCGTGTGACAAGATTTATCTTCTTGGATTTCGCACGGATAAAACCTACATGAGGTGCTTGAGATTTKCCTCTTGTCTTTTGCTTGGATTTAAATGAAAATTTCCAATACATGGTGTAACAATTGGTTGGAAAGGGAAACAATGGCATGCTGACGTTTGATGATGAGGGGTAATCATTAAACCAATGTTAAACATTAACCTCAAATGACCCGGAGAATCTGAGGTTGTTATGCGTGAATCCCGGTCATAGCTCGATCCTCGGCGATGTTCTTCATTAACACACCTCGGGCAAATTTAATTATGACRATAAGGTTGGACGTTATTGTGTTGTTCTACATCATCTGTGGGGATTTACCCGATTGAGGTTTTTTGAGTTTGATAAAAACCAGTCAGGTGAACGTATCACCGATTGCGTTCAGAATTGAACTGCATTGTACTGCGATTGCGATACCATTCAATTTATGTGCCTAATAGCATAAAAACTGCCCTATTTAAATGGACTCCAAAGCTATTTGGGTCAGAGCATGGACGATGAATGTTTCGACGAGTTGGACACAAATTACTGATCAAAGGGAGGTTTTTTTCTTCCGACGAAATTATTGGAGAGGTAAACATTGATATTTTCAATCAGGAGCTTTGATTTTTGCCGACTGCTCTTTTATGGTTCTGCTCGAACATTTCAACTGGAAATTTTTACTGGAGTTTTTCTCAAGAGCTCTCTTTAAATATATAGCCATCTTTGATATTTACGTTATGTTTCTCTAAGTTTAATGGGAGAACTATAAATCGTTGCGAGGGGGTCGTTACGTTTTATGGGCGCGGTTGGACCTGATTCAATTTTTTGGAAAAGTTACCACACATTGTTGCAGGGTGCTGTGCTGCTGTGCCATTCATGGCGAGATCCTTTACAAGCCGATCAACAGAGTACCGCTTTTGTTTCTGAGCAAAAGGTCGCATAATCAGAAATAATCTTGTTTTCATTCAAAGTACCGACCTATTGAATTTTCGGCGGCTTAACAGCATATTAAAATTCTGTAAAGAATGAGGAAACTTTGTTAGCAAGTTGTTAATATTTCGTGCATTACAAGACTTTGATTATATTGACTCAAAGAGAAAGTTTCGATGTAATATAAAAACTTTGCTGACAACTTGACAAGAGAATATTATCAACTCACTCGACAGAAAATACAGCTGGCGTGAAAACCTTCMCGACCAACGATACCGAGATAATTACAAAATTGTTTTTTGTCGTATGTGTGAAGCAAAATTATTTGGGTTTGCTCATTCAGATTTACATTTTTAGTTTGGTGTTTTATTTTATTTTCACATGAGCTTCATTGTTTGAGGTGTCAAACAAAGTTTGATTGGTAGAAAATGATACAAAATGAACGACAAAACATCTAAATACAGGGTGTATCACACAACTTTACGAGGCTTGCGCCTAATGTACGCACCCAAATATACAAAATTCACAAAACACTAGATACAAAAAATACACATTTCACTCATGACAGTAGTTCTCAAACTAATTAATAGTCATAGACTGCAGTTTTTCAGAAACAATTATCATTTGTGCTATCAAGAGACGACATGAATATGATTCTAGTTTATCTATCTTAATCACTAACTAACTAAAAATGTTGTAATKTTTGAAATGGTGAACAAACTAGAATAATTGAGTTCGTATCGGAATATGTATTATAGATTGCATGTTACACCGCAGGCTTCGTAAAATTATGTGGAACACCTGTATTTTGCGGGAGTAGAAATTTTTGCGAAAGTTAAAGTAACAAGACAAGTTGACGGGAGAATATTAGCAACTCACTCGACATATATTACGGGTGTGTGAGAATCTTTGCCGTCAAAGCGTCAGCGAGTTAATTAGAATATCGTTTCGGATCGTGTGTGACTTTTCCCGAGTGTCAAACAAACAATTTTGATTCGTTTCTTCATTCAGCGACGTGCATGTATTATTAATGCATTTGGGGTCCTGAAGCCTCCGGGAAATTCGCCAATAAATCGCTGGTTCAGGTAATCTCGCGGTAGGCCAGCCACTTCCAGATGAATTAAATATTTGGCGAAGGCACAACTCTCTTTCTGACGGGTAGATTGATGGCGTCACGCGTCTTACGTGATCGCCCGGCAAACAACTGCAATCTAGAAGGCCAGTACGTGCCTGTCCTCGAGATTAGCTGCTTATTGCACATGTCCTTACCTATTAGTCATGTTTTTTCAGGCCGGAGTTGCACCGGAAAACGACAACAGTCGACTTCGGTTCACAACTTTTAACAAGCATCGCTTATTTGACCAATTACCGAACTTTTCCGCCACGAAACATTAAAATCTCAGGTTTGATTTATAGACGACCTGTCTAGAGTTGAGTCGAGAAAAAATGAGGACTTTCCGAAAAGTTTTTTTAATGATCGTTTCGATGACATTTTGATTGGACAAGTTTCACTATTAACGGAGATGGAAGGATGTTCGCCGAGCAAACATGTTATCCGAAAGGATTCGATGTTCTAGGCATAAGTCTAACTTCATCGTTCCAATCTGTTCCGGATAATTGGATCTCCGATCTTCATTATAGTTGTCAAAGACATTCTATTATGTTTAACTTAAAGATTTATGAAGTGCGCACCACGAGGACGACGATGTTGGTCTTAGGTCGGATAATAATAATTGKAGGCAAACAGTGTCAACATGTGAACATATTAATATTAGGTATATTTTAATAAAGGAGGTTTGTTTCCGAACAAAGTTTTGGTGTGAGAAGGTCTATTTTCGGAGAATTATTTAGCGATTTAGGTTGAAGACAACGATGGAAGCCATCTGAGCACGTTCCTAACATTTGGGATAACACCTCACTTACAAATTGCCTAATTCTGGTGTATAGTGTTGGGTCCGATTTCGGTACAACGATTGTCTAGAACCGGACCTCCCATTGAAATAAATTATGTAACCGGATTATATTAAGTTGGATTAAATCGGATACCACTGGATCTCCTCAATTTGAATAATGCCCTTTTGGATCAGTATTTAATTGAACATTAATTTTCAATAAAGGGYGAAGAATATGAYTGGATTTTTTTTGGATTAAAAGGAAGCAATTTGGTTATTGGATTTAGTGTTATTGTCAATACTTTTTTCGGGAGAGAGCGGATCGGCATACAAATCGCCCTTAAAAAAATATGGTAGAGTAATGCCTCAAAGCYATCCATAAATATTAGAAACCGTAATAATCTTAAAATGCTACCCGAGGGTATTCCATAWGGCATAAAATTCCTAAAAGAAAAACCATCGTCGAAACACGAGTTAGATCATTCAAATCGGATTTCTGTAAGGTACAGAGCTCTTGTTCCACCTGTTTACCGCAAGTTGAGTTTATGAAAGCCTGGCAGTGAACGTGTTTCGGGATTAATTCTATAATAAACCTCCTTATCCGAAGCGAGTCGAGTGTTAGTCAACTCTCCTGGAAGGAAAATAATTTACGCCCGACATTATTTTATTCCATTTTCATGTTAATTGGAGTCCCACTAGTTTATTGTCCAAGAGCCCTAACTCAATTTAAATTACACAACTGCGACAAGACGACTGCAGAGAGAGTCAGCCCTCACCGCTACAACGTTTATAAAACCATTACCGAGCAAGGATAGGCGAATCAAGTGCGGTTCTGGTACATTTAGCAAAAGTGATGGACGCCGTTTTCGTGCATTCTGTATACGACTCGTGCGGACATAACTTATTAGACAAAATGAACATCCGCCAAATAGTGTTGCTGTGATTTCGRTAAAAATCTCAGAAAACTCACAGCAAACAACTCAAACATCAAAGAGAAAGAAAAGTTGTTAAGGGAGTGTATATGTACTCACCGGCCGGGCTTTCTTCGATCCAAAATGATTCATCCAAGGTATAATCGGCTTCTGAAATGGATAAGGAAAGTGCATTAGATAAAAGCAGTCAAGACTAAGTGTGTGTCAAAAAAACGAACAAAAATGTATACAGCGTGTGTTCAAGTGCAATAAAACAAGTTTAATACTCGCTTTTACTGTGGATGAGTCGATGAAACGTACAACGTGATTGCAGTTGCACTTTTCAAAGAAGCCATTCGAAATATTATATAGACAAAGCCAATGTCKTCATACACGAAATCTCACGAAACACACAAATACATCGAATATGTAAACTGTATTGATTCTTGGTACAGCACATTGAAGATTTTAAAGCAAAAATCCTAATACAGCCAGATTCAAGCATATATTTGAATACGATAGCAAATACACCGACTTTACGTCTCATAAATTTCTCATTTCCCATCAATAACTAAAGCATACTAAAGAATTCTTTTATGGAAATGTAGTTTTAAACGCTAATACCCAAACACTGGAATGGAAAATCAGCTTTTATTTCGCTTTTTACTTCTCTGCGCCAAATCAGACAAGGCGGTAATAAAGAGAGGAAAGTGTATCTTTTCTTCTCCTAGGTGGAAGTTACCGTCGAGACAAGTCTCAGGCAAAACACACTTTCCTCCAGTGTATGGCAAAGTAAATTTTTTACCTCCCAGAAAGGGTAATTGACCACTTTCCTTGTCGAAATTAAGGTGGAAAAACTTACTTTCTTTTAGGGTTGAAAGAAAATTATTTTAACACTTACCGTACTTGTATCTAAAAAAAGTTTATTTTTACAAGCAGATATATACTTTACTTTTTGTGGTTTTTGTTATCAATCATCTTTTAGTCCTTGAATATTTATAAAATTCTTTTTGTGAAATTTTAAACTTAATTTTCTATTTTTAGTATAAAATATTTTTCTTAGGTAAATGTAGAATACATACCTACTTGCTAAAATTTATGATTCGATAAACGATTGTGTTTGTTTTTTGATGATGACAAAAAGTTTAGATTTTTGCAAATCCTGTTGTTTTAAACTAGATTTTGATTAACTAAAAATTAATTTTAATTAATTATTTTGTTATTTTGGAATCGRGACAAATTTTGCCCTACGTAATAAAAATAATGTATATGTTTTAGAAACAAAAAAAGAAAGAAAAAAATGTTATAGGTACCACGGCACTGGCTTAAGTTTATTGTGGATAGTGGTCCTCGAAAAAACAAAAATCCTTGCTTTCAGGCTTATTGTAGCCATAACCTTTTGATTATGCTCTTAAAACATAAAACATAAATTACTATTACAACACCTTATCATTCGTCCAGAAAGTAAATAGTTTAAACAAAAAGCGTTTGTTTCCATACTTGTTGTTTATACTGTGCGTAATAAAATAAAAGAAAAACAAGAACAAAATATACGCTCATGAAATAACTTAAAGTTACTTTTGTGTTGCAAAAGAGTTATTCAATTGTAAATTTGCGACAACTAGACTTTAGATCTCCTAGGGTTTGGTTATATGTTTTACATACAGGGACATTTTTTTATTAGTATACATAACCCTATGTATACTTTTAAAAAAACCGGGTCAATTTCATAGGGTAGGTGACCAACATTWCAAGCTTTTAGAGGGTACTAAACATTAAAATATTCAAAACGAAAATTTTGTGTCAAGTTTGTCAAGTGTCAGTCTTGAAATTTAAAGCGCAGCTTTATAAAGTTAATGCCATTTGTGTGCCATGTACACCAAAGTGGARCGGGAGATATGGCCGCATCGCATGGCCCCCACAATCGCCACACTWGGCACCTAACGATTTTTTTCTTTGGGGGTATTTAAAAACGAAAATTTATACTAATGTTCTAATGCAAAATTTAGAAGAGCTGAAAGAACGTATTCGTACAGAATGTAATAATTAATATAGATCCTGAATTTATCAGGAATGCAATGGCTTGGTTTTCAAAATCTCTTGGGTTATTGTTTGGAACTGCAAGGATAGCATTTTGAACACTTGCTTTAATTATTTAATATTTTTCTTGTTTTGATGGGTTTTATTTTTTTCAATTAATATTTAATTTTTTTATTTAACGCCTTTTAAGCCTTTGTAATATTGGTTGCCTATGCCTAGACTAACTGCTAATTGTAATAGTCATAGTTACATTGAAGTTGACCCGTTTTTTTTAAGTATACAGGGTGAATATAAAGTATGGAACCAAGCGGTTTTATTTTTAATCATTTGCCTCCGGAAAATAATAATTAATATAAATTAAAGTAATATAAAAAATGTGATCGTAATTTCAGAACGAAATTTTGTTTTGTTTTTGAGTTATGCGATTTTTTTTGTCAAAATTGCAATTTATGTGAAAAAATTTTTTTGAAAAAATTAAAAATGAAGCAGATAGTTGTAATCCTTAGAGTATAGCTTTTATGAGAAAAATGATTTTATAGTGGGTTGCCATTTAAAAAAATATTTTTTTGTAGAACTCAAAAATAAAAGAAAATTTCGAAAAATTTTATTCTTGTTAAATCATCGCATTTTTATAGTACTTTAGCACTCCTCAATTAGTTTTTTCAAAAAATAAATAATTTAAGCAAAAAACGTTTGGTTCCATACTTTTTATTCACCTGGTACATAGGGCTATGTATACTAATAAACAAATGTCCCTGTATAACACAGTTCTGTTTGATTGTTTTATAAGCATTGGAATAATCAGAGCTGCWACGGGTAGAATTCCTCGCCCTTATATCGTTTTAAAGAGAAATCCCATCGCCTAAATGCCCCAAAATCCGTAAAAAATAACTTTGGAAGCTGTTATGGAATTAAACGAGTTTGCTGAAAAGCTCCCGTTTCTCGGATTCTCCAGGAATCGGTCCTGTAATGAAATACGTGAGCGATGCTGTTTTTTTCATTTGTCACGTCTCGTGTCTTGTATGTTTCAAAATTCATTGGATGTTACGGTAAGTAAGCAAACAGTTTAAGTATTGTAAATAGATTGAGTATTATTTGAGCGGCGTGTAACGATAATCTGACATCGGACTTGATGGATCATTTTGAACATTAGTGGCTCAATGGCTGCGAATCAAACATGCAAACGTGATGTCTCGTTTCTAAAATGGCAAACTGACCAATTTTCGAATTACTCAATCCAATCTTGAGCCTATTTGGGAAACTGTGCAAGGTCTGCTGTAAAAAACCGGGACCAATTTTACCAAAGCTTGGATAATGGGGATCAGGACGATGTCTTTATCTAGCGGGGCATCGCTGATGGAACATTGCATACGTGACCGGATTACAGTTATTACGTTTTAACTCTGTTCACTGATCTGATGCAAGAGATATGTTGCTGGGGTGGTTATGTTGAATGCAAGCTCTTTGATGGTTCTAAATGACTTCATGAACCGAAATTTAAAAACATTTTTCATTAAATTGGGAGAAAAATGACCACTGGAACTAATGGACGGTCTAAATGGCTGTAATTAGGGCCAGCATTAGAAGAGTGCTTATGGCACACGATCAGAAATGTTGAGAAGTCGTTGAAGAAAATTGCGCTTCATTTCAATAAAATACTTGTCAATTATCGGGACAAAAAATGACGAGGAGAAGAATTGCTCGAGATAAAGCTTTAGGCTTTTTGCAGGTGTATTCAGCAGGTGCTTCGTATTCATCTAGATTTGTCCGTTAAAAATAAATCTGCTTGTAATATTCCTTTTATTCATGTTTTACGATTACGTAACTTTATTTTTCCGCGGAATTCTAATAAATCCATTCGTATGCAATCTCTTTAAGTTTCGGTGGAGTTCTTTATTTCCATTACCCCTGAAATTTATTAGCGTCATCATCCTTTTACGGTTCTAGTTTACATTTTTGGGAATCCCTTCCGATGGTGAATAAACTCTGTTGTTAGTAACCTTGTCGTAGGTATCTATAAGTTTTCTAAGCCGTTATAAAAATAAATGAGCTTCAGATGATTAGAGTTTTTGCGACTTTATTATTGTTGTTGGTAAAGCGAGTGTGTATTTTGTATTTTAAAATAAAGCCGGGAGGAGTTGAACTTCTTTAGTTCGTAACTTTGTTACAACAAATGTAAATTCGAGTCTAGAAACTTTAAATTAAAGCGTGGACGTGATGTATATCAAACAGCTAAGCAAGTACGTCGCGTCGCCTGAATGCTGTTGTTGTAAGAAAAATTTAAATTAAAATGCAACGATTAATCGAATTAAGGAATTCGACTGATGAGAAAATAAATAAATAGGAGAGCGCACCTCAAAGTAGAATGTTCGATCGATCTAGGAATTATATTGAAATTCCTGGCGTTCCATAGTCAATTTAAAGCATTGTTTTACCATTAATGAAGTATCTTAACAATGCTAACTTACGTGTCATTCTTATTATTGCCAACTAATTTGATGTCAATTGTCGTCACAATGCGCAATTGAACTGAAAATAGCATCGCTTTATAAAGTCAGCGAAAAATTTACGTCACTGAATGTGCACTTCCAATTTACCTACCATTTGCATTCGCTTTCTACGAATATAATAAAAGGAAAACGGTAAACAATTTTAGGTTAACAAGGTTTTTATTACAACTCCGAGACTTGGTTGTATGAATAATTCCGAACGTCCTTATGTAATATACTTTGTATATGATAGAGCAACCCTCTGAGTTTAAAATTTTTATGGAAGGAGAGTCTGTCTGAACAAGTTGAAAATTTTTAAATGAATTCCTCCAAGTTGGTGTAACTCGTGGAAGTTTCACGCAATCGGTTGCGATTCATGAATATTTTTCGCTGATGTAATTTAACTACTATCACTTGAAAGTATTAATGTAAATCAAGTGAAATTTTTCCAAAATTGTGTGGACAAAACAAAATGATCGAAAATRGCAACGAGTTTTGGTRTTATATTTAAACACGAGGGATCTTAATTATGAGCTTGTTTATTGAGGACGGGATTTATGTTACTTTAGTCCGCTCGTGATGTTATTTATGTGTGAATAACAGAATAATTGTTGTTATTAACTTAATGCGCTCTGGAGCTGA